GGCGTGAATGGAGACACTCTTGTTTTCTTTAGTGACGAGAGATTCCAAGAATTTATTTTGCTATGCTGCGTTTCTTGCTGCAGACTGCAAAAAGGTTAAGATTGCATAGGGTGCTTTTGCATCCAGCATGCAAGCTAAGTCTTCTGATTAAAAAATAATAATAACTTTTATGTTTCTACTTAATTAAGGACTTCTGGATATAAATTATTAACCAAAACCCCACAGTTCTTCAAGCTTTGTTCTCTGTGATCACATATATGCTCTTCAAGAAATGTGAAAGCTTTTTCTGTTTTGTTTTCGTCTGTTTTTCGGAAAATGTAACTTTGATGGCTTATATTGACATTTTTAACTGATTAATATGGTTTACAGAAGAAATCCTGACTGATCCTTATAAATGTATTTGGGAGGTTACGTTATTTTTCATGTTTTGACCTTTCTTCAATGCTCCTTCGGAAGCATTTAGAAAAGTTGAACTCATATAAGTGTTGAGGGCTTTGTCTTGGTGGTAGATGATATGCTTTAATTGAAATAACAAATGAAACAAAAAGAGGGTCCTATGGTTGTTATATTAAAATTGGGGGCCTGTTTTTATTCATTTATTTTGAATATTGTCTTACTGTTTTTCATTGTATTGCAGGGAAAGGTAAATGGAAACACAAATAATTAAGACTATACAAGGGTTCAGGGAATTGGTGTGAGGGAATAGAAGTATGGATTCTCACTTTCAGAAAGATACTATTTCTTTTTTACTTTGCAGGTTACTTTGAACCTAAGAGAAAAATCTTTCCTTCTCCTTTTTAGACGGTGTTTGCATTTGGTTTTGTTTGTTCACTGAGAAATTTATCCTGGAAGATGTTTTTTTAATCTTAAAAAAAAAAAAAAAAAAAGGCTGTGTACTACAGAATAATATTCTCTTTCAGGTCCTGCTGTTGTTTGTGTGATTCAGTATATTGCAAAGCATACTGTGTTATAAAGAGCTTTTAAATTAATCTTTCTGTTTATTTAGTGGACTTTTGGTTAGGTTCTTAATGAATTTAGGGATGTTAATGATATATATTCAAAGCTGTTTCAAATGTTAACCTAATAGATACAGCACTATGAAAATAAAGTTGTGTTCTTAGCTGTCATTTACTGAAGGCATTGAAGAAGTTGCAAGACAGTCTGATGTTAGTCAACTACAGATGAACATGGCAACGAGTTTTCAGCGATGATTTCCTTTGAACTCTGGTGCAGCCAGGGAGAGCCAAGGGACTAGCAACAGCATTCCACTCTTTCGGTGACAGCGCAAAGATGAGCAGTACCACGTACATCCAGAAATTCAGAGAGGTGTAGTTTCATGGCGGGCTTAGGAGATAGTGCAAGTCACACTCCTGCCTTTTGCTTGCACTGAGCCTTGGCTGCAGCATGGTAAGGTAGTCAGTGAGCTGATCAAGAGGATGATTTTTTTTCTTCTGAGGGATGGCAGACTTGTGGTGCATCAACTTGTCAGCTTTGAATGCTGTAGAAGCACCCACAAATGTAGTACATAGATCAAAGTTGTATTCATTTTAAAATCAGAGTAAACAGTACAACTACACAGTAGAAATAGGTAAATAATCTTCCATGCCTCCCTCACCTTTTTTATTTTTGGAGTTTGTGAGTAAATCTTATTTTAGCAAAACACTAACCTGAAGGCAGTGAGTAAATAATCAAAAACTTCTTTTGGTGATTATAGATAGTAAGTTTTTACATGCTTCTCCCATCTTTTCGCAGAGGGCATTTTCTCCCACCTTTTTAATTTATTTGCTTGTTCTCTCTTTTTTTTTTTTTTTTTTTTTTACCCCCCCATGTTATACTTTATTTTACAGCGGTACAGAAAAAAAGAAGGAAAAACCTCCAGGACAGAAAGAAAAAAAAGAGGAATCTCATTCTAATGATCAAAGTCCACAAACTCAAGCATCACCTTCTCCCCAGCCCTCCTCACAGACTCTCCAAACACACAGGCAAACTCAAGAAAGCAAGAGTTCTGCTCCAGCTAAAAGGTTTTCACAGTATCACAATACAGAACTAGAAAATGGTTGTAACGATACTGAGTTCATATTTGACAACAAGTCATGTGAAATAGTTCCAATCTCATGATCAAATTAATAATTTTGGTATTTTTTGTGCTAGAGAAGATGCATTCAATATGCATTGCAGCAGCGCAAATACGTAAAAACGCAATTTTTCTTTGAGTAAATTTTTAAGATTAGAAAGGTTTTTTTTGTTCTCTGTGACTGAAGTCCTAATATGGTAGATTACCTCTAATCAGTCATTATTCTAAAATATTTAATGATGATTCTGACTTGATCCTTCTCAAAACACACTTCATAGGTTTTGTCTGGCATAGCTGAATTTTGTGGAGTGTATTTTGTACATGGCCATTTATATCTCTTTACAGCATTTGTTAAATACTAGTATCATTGCAACTCTTCCTTTGGGAGTTTTTCTTCTCAAATTATTCTATAAAGTGACTGCAGTTTGGATTTTTTTTTTTTTTTTTTGGCCCTTCCCTTTTCAATTCCTGCTAGATTGCAGAGTGGTTCACTTCACTTATATTCTGAGTGAAGTTCTGGTTTTACACCCAAATCCTAGAACTGCTTGACTTGAATGAATGTAGAAGTTTGTTTAGGATTGCCTCTAAGTTCCTACTCATTGAAGTAGGAACTAGGCACAGAAAAAATGGTACTTTTTTTTTTTTTTTAAAGGCAAGGCATTGGATTTTAAGATTTGGGTGATTATTTCTGAGTTTCAGAACTATGCAGATCACTTGGTGTCATTTCCTTTTTTTTTTTTTTTTGGTTCATTGTTACCTTACTGTTTGAGGTATGAAATTTTCTTCTACTGTTTGGCATTTAGGCAAATGAAACAAGCTCTTAAATAAATGAAATTTATTCTTCTGAAATTTACTGTAGTTCACAAGATTATGTTGTCTTGCATTGCTTGGATTCACAGCTCTAATAAATATTTAAAACTTCACTTGACTGATGCATGTTATAACACTCCATAAAGGCTCTGTCTTTATGTCTTGCACAAACTCTTAAGTTGTCTGAAGCTGAACTTGCGGCCTGTTGTTCTCCTGCCTGGTACCTCCCTGTAAATATGTTTGTCTGAAGTCGCGCTTACTAATCTTTTGCAATGTGGGGAAAAAAATAAATGCCTTTTTTAGTCTCCTAATGGTTTAACTTGATTTGATTAACTTGTTTGTCCCAGGACCTTTCAGCCTCTTGAGCTGCTGTGGAAGGAGCTTGCCATTTCTGAGGTTGCAGTTCAAATCTTATTCCTGCAAAAAGCACTTCTGACGGGATGAAGTATAATACTGTTAGCAGGACATACACAGACTCAGAATCAGCTGCTTGGAGAATAATTTGAGCTAGATCACTTTTGAAGCTGTTTTCCATGACTAAGATGTGTAGTGACTGCAAAGCTTGCAGGTTCCCATTAGTGTAAATTGGCTACAATAAGATTACTCAAAAATTGTATGAGAATTCGTAGATTTAATCGTCTGTAGTGTTGGGCCAAATTAACTTGCCTTATTTGTGCCAGTAGTTTGCAGACATTTGTTTCAAAAAGATGGAAGCCATTGATGTGGTTTAGAATGTGCTATCTGCAAAACAGCCGTATGAAACTGTAATCAAACTGTTCTGTCTCAGAAATCAGTGTGTTAAAGCTGTCGAACAGTTAATCAGGGAAAAAAATTCTACTTTTCTTTGTTACTTTCTTAAGTTATTTTACTAATATATATAATTTATTCTTTAAGGCTAATACACTGTAGCCGCATTTTTTTCCCACTTTTATAATTTGTTAGCAATATAGTAAGAAAGTATAGTGTTATTTTGTTCAAGTCTTTATGTAAAAACATTTGGCAACTGTCTTGCTCAATTGTTTTCATTCATCCAGTTAGAACTTTTTGACTAATCTTTTTTTCCTGTTTCATGCTTCAGCTTGAAGGAAGATCTAGCTCTGCTTTTGTCTCCTGCTGCTTGATCTGTCTGTTGCGTACCAGTTCCAGTTACTGTTATCTTATTGTCTTGTCATTTTAAAATATATTTTTGTTTCTTCTAGCATAAAGAAATCCTTGACTGCTGAAAAACCTCATGGTGCTTGGGAGAGTTCAGATGACAGTCGTAACAAGCTGCTGAGAGTAGCATCAACATCTAAATTAATATCAAAAGTGGCAAAGAATGCAGACAAGTATGTATCAGTTTGGTACATAAAAGCAAGTGAACTTTAGAGTCAAAATATTAAGAAATTGCATAATTTTCGTAAACTTATTTATGTCTATGCTAAGACCATTTACATCTTTGTTTTTACCAGGAGTAATTACTTGCATAACCTGCCAATGTGGCATGCCAGGTGACTGTGGAATCTTAAAATTATTATAAAATGTGAATGCAGAATTTAAGTGTAAATGTATTTTAATGTTGCCCATTAGCAGAATTATGCGCTATGAGTTAAGGTTTGTGATTTCATGCACTATGAGTTTAGATTTGTTGCTTAATGCCACTGTTGTGAAGCTTCCAACCATTTTTTTCCTAATGAAAACTGATTTGAAAATGCAAGTGTATTTCCTTGAAGTTAATTTACTGGATTTGACATATTATGTGTGTTTCTAAAGTAGACTGTGATAGTAAGAATACACTTTTATGATTTCAGGTAGGTCTTTCAAATTGACTGTTTAACAGGTTCCTCATTGCAGGTTCTAGACAATAGGCAGGGGTTGTCTTTTCAGCTTCAACTTCAGTAGGTGATGTGCTGTAGCCCATCATTCCTCTTGTGCTCTTCTTCAGCAGCAGGTTTTCTCACTTTGTGATCTCCAGCAGAGGCCTCACCAGGGATGAATAGCGCAGAGTAGTCACTTCCCCTACTCCTGTCAGCACAGGGACAAGAGTTTGCTTTTTGCTTTAACCTTACATTGTTAACCCTTATTGTGACCCAATTCTTGTCCTCAACACTCTTTGCCAGCTGGGCTTCCCACTTCGTATTCACCCACTTAGTTTCTTTTTTTGACTTTGAAATTTTGCCAAATTTGTTGAAATTGTTGTGTTGACTTTCTGACTGACCCTGTTTGCCGAGATCCCCCCAGCGTGCTGGCAGTTTCTCCCAGCTTAATGTTGTCTGCAGATTTCATACATCTGCTCATTGATCTTCATTCAGATAGCCATTAGCTGGTCCAAGGCAGAATTACCTGAAAACCCCTCTATCCCACTATGACAAAACTCTTCAGACTTTTCAGAGTAATTTCCAATCTTTTTATGATTGTGTCTGTCGTGCTCTCCTTAGCTTGCATGTAAGACTGTCAAATACATACTTAGAGTCAAGAGCGGTGCAAGTGCATTCCTTTCTTCCTAAGAATGGGAGAACAAAACCATCTTAAATTAATCTTGGATGTGGATATCGGCACATTTACTGAAAGCTTTATGCTTAGCCTGAAGAGTTCTGCAGAGCAGTGAAGTGCTGTGTGTGAAGGATTATGGGTTACATATTTTGCAAGTACTCCTTTTCCCTTTATAATTGGTTTTCACTGTTGGAATTTAAAAGCCCATTGGCAATTTAGATTCTAGCAGGGTACTGCTAGATAATATTTTGGAATGAAAAACACCCCTGTCCTGATTTCTGCTTATCAAGTTTCTTTTCTTTGTTTCTGTTATGCTACTAAAGTATCTTTCACAATGTGGTATAGACTTCAAACTTGCTAATAATAAATAAATTTTACTTTTGTTGACATTTTGTATATTGGTTCAGGCATGGTCACAACAGAGGTATTTCATTTTCCTGTGTTTCTGCTTTTTTTCTAAAAGGCTTTAAATGCTGCCCTTCGACAGTCTCTGATGTAGAAAAAAGATCAGGTATCTAACAAAAGAGCAGACAAGGAAAGACTAGGCTTTGTTATTGTTAGAGAAAGTTGTCTGTTCATAACTTGAAGCTGTTGTATCTTAAACTATTTGGCAAAAAACAAAGCTTGAAACGTTATCAGTCGTAGACCACCATCTGATTGAAGACTGGGTGTTGTTGTGTACCTTGTTCTTACACTCAGATTTATAATAAAAGCACTATTTGCATTCAAGAGCACACACTAATACTCATTTCTTACTCTTATCCTCAGAGTCCAATTTCTAAAAGAATTGGTTGGTATTGTGCAAAGGCATATGGTTATATTGCGTTTATCATTTCCATTTAAGAAACGTTGGCCTAATCTGCCTGAAGTTACAGGAGTCTTGTGTAAGGGAATAGAATTCAGCCCCCAATGTGGGCCCCAGGACAGAAATGTTTTACATATGCTTTGAGCTACCAGCCCAGGATATGAACTTTGTTTAGTAAGCTCAGTCTTTAAGCCAGCGCTGAGCTGTAAATCAGTTTGATAAAGCCACAAGAAGCAAGAGGGTTCCCATGGCAGCCCATCATTCAGTGTTTTGCAGGCAAGACTGGGAATCCAGTTCTAATTTTTCGTTTGGCAGTATGGTGAAGGGTGATTCTACCAATAGCCAGACATGACTTCCCTTATGCATAATGCTTGACCCTTTGTCACTGTTACAAAAATTTGACCTCCATCCAGCTAAATATACTGGA